TCCCGGCCCCGGGATCAGCAGAGCGGAAGGCCTTCTGGACTCTGGATTCAGGGGAGCCGAGAGCCTCCCGGCCGCCTGAATCAGCGGAGCCGAGAGGCTCCCGGGCCCAGGGATCAGCGGAGCCGAGAGGCCTCCTGGCCTGGGATCAGCGGAGCCTGATGGAAGCCCTGTGTGTTTATGCACCCTGTGGGTTCAGAGGTCCTGTCCTAGGCAGAGGCCTATGGCGAAATTTTCGACTCTGAGAAGCAGCCTACGGGCTGGAAGGCGGCTCCTCTGACCTCAGTGCTGGAGAAGACCATTAAGCAGAAAACTAAAGAAACCGATTTTACATCATTTTCCAGGTGGAGAACAGTTGGCATGTAAGCCCCTGACCAGTGCCCAGCCTCTCCTCTGTCAGTCTATCTCACTCTTAGGTACCATGTTCTTTGTTCTGTCTTAACTGCAACTCATTTTTAAACTAGATTGCTTTTAAAAGAAGACTAAATAAAGTTTCCCTTAAGTTATTTAGGTGGTGCTGGGGCTGCTGGGGCTGCTGGGGGCCTGATAGAAGACACAAACACGCAACGGGGGGCCTGTACCCAGCAGCCCCAAGGCCTGCCACCTTGGTGCTGGGGCTGCTGGGGCCCTGATCAAAGACCCGCAGCCCCAGCCATCAAGGTGCTGGGGCTGCTGGGGGTATCAGAGACACAAACCCGCAGGCCCGGCACCCAGCAGACCCAAGGCCTTCGTGGCAGCACTAAGGAGCAGCAAGCCAAGCGGTAGGAAGCAGCAAGTAGGTGGGCAGTAACAAGGGAGGGGTCACAGACTGCAAGAGGGCACATGCTGGGCTAAGGGACCCCCCACCCATCCCCAGTGCACGAATTTCGTGCACCGGGCCTCTAGTACATATAATAATACACTAAGATATTTTAAGAAGCCACATTCATATACTTTCATTATGCTGTACTTATAATTGTTCTATTTTATTCTTAGTTATTGCTAATCTCTTACTGTGCCTAATTTATAAATTAAACTTTTTCATAGGTACATATGTACTAGTGCCCTGGTGCACGGATTCGTGCACATTAAAAGGAAATTAATTAGAAGGTGGCTGGCGGGGTGGGGCGGGACTAGGCGAGAAGGGCTGGACAGGCCCTGGAGCCAACCTCCTGAGGTCCCTCCCCTGCTGGCTGCACCTGGGGCGGCACCTCAGCTTGAAGGGCATCTGCAGAGTGAGCGGGTCCCTCTGGCAGGTGGGGTCCCTTGGCCTGTCCTGTGGGGATTGGCCCCAAACTGGCATCCCCTGAGGGGTCCTGGATTGCGAGAGGGCGGTTCTTGGGTGACACACCCTGGAATCGGGCTCCCTCCTCTCTGGTACTGGGGTGCATCACCTGAGAGCTGCCACTGCCAAGTCACCAGAGCTCAGCGGCTCCTGCATTGAGCGTCTGCCCCCTGGTGGTCAGTGCACATCATAGTGACCATTTGTTCCACTGTTAAGTAGATTTGCATATTACCCTTTTTATTATATAGGACTAGAGGCTGGTGCACAAATTTGTGCACGGATGGGGTCTGGCCAGTAATGGGGGCCAATCAGGCTGGGTCGGTAGGGGGAGGGGCCACAGGTGGTTGGCCAGCCAGCCCCACCCCCATTTGGGGTTGGGGCTGCCAATCAGGCTGAGCTGGCCGAGGGGAGGGGCCGCGAGAGGTTGGGGGGATGATTGGGGCCCAAATTGGGCTGGTTGTCCGCCACAGTGTGCATCATAGCGACCAGTCATTCCATCGTCATTCTGGTCACTGGGCTTTTGGATGGATGGATGGATGGATGGATTGATGGATGGATGGATGGGGAAAATATGGTGTATGTATAGGGTTCAGTGCTATGTGCAGTGTCAGGCACCCACTGGATACGGGCGGACTTTTTTTCTTTTTTTTTTTTTAAGGGAGAGGGAGGGAAACGTCAATGTGAGAGTGTCATTCAGCTGCCTCCTGCACACACCCTACCAGGCATTGAGCCTGCATCCTGGGCATTTACCCTGACCAGGAATCGAACTGGCAACTTTTCAATGCATGGGACGACACCCAACCAACTGAGCCACACCAGCCAGGGCCAGACTTCTGTATTCTTAATGAGATGGTCATATAGATCTGGGATCTTGGAATATATCCCTTGGATAAGGGCAGACTACTGTATTCGTAATGAAATGGTCATATAGAACTAAGTATGGCAAAAAAGCTTTGTCAGAAATGATGTGCCTAACTTCCTTCATGGGTCAAAAACTGGCTATTAAAGTCACTATATTATGAGAAGAATATTCACTTAGGCTTTGTAAATTCTGATGTGTTTGTTTAAAGGAAATCATTTTTATACATATTTATGGTAAAGTCTTAAACTCCTAGATTAACTTAACATTTAAATATTATAAATGTTTTAAAAGGCCAGTAGTGAATTGTATTTACAGTTATCTGGATGAAAATATTTAAATCCGGTCCATTTACTGGTTTGAATTTTTCATGCCATCACCTCCTTTTTAGACAGGTTAGCCCACATTGACTGTTTTAACAGTAATGTTTGGCCCTAGCTGGTTTTGCCCAGTGGATACAGCATTGGCCTGCGAACTCAAGGTTCGATTCCAGTCAAGGGCACATGCACGGGTTGTGGGCTTGATCCCCAGTGGGGGGCTGCAGGAGATAGCTGATCAATGACTCTCTCTCATCATTGATGTTTTCTATCTCTCCCTCTTCCTTCCTCTGAAATCAATCAAACAAAAAATGTCTGTAAAATTGAGTTGATTGGCTTCTAGGTTTGTGTAATTATAACCAAACTTAGAAAATATCTCCAAACAATGAGTTACTTTTAATTTAGTCAAATAGCTGAGGCTTAATATAACTATAAATCAACTTGAAGGTGAATTTCCATGTTTATTGTACGAAGTGTTATTTATACATTGTACATAGAGTGAACATTTTAAAATTCATATTGAAATGATAACTGGACTTTGTTTACAGAAAGCCACAAAGAAAACTGATAAACCCAGACTAGAAGATAAAGATGACTTAGATGTAACTGAACTCACTAATGAAGATCTTCTGGGTCAGCTTGTGAAATATGGGGTGAATCCTGGCCCTATTGTGGGTAAGTTGACAAAATTTTAAATATCTTTTCTGTGAAGTAGTACCCCAAATTGTTTTTCCTTCTTACCTAGCACTTAATTTTGGGTTTTAATGGCCACTCTGCCAATCATTTCTGTGACCAGGACCTTACTTTTTTTTTTAATTATAAATGAGGGAAATAAAATGAGGGAATTGGACTAGACAGTCTCCAAGATTACCTCACCTCTGTGTTGAGATTGCTTCATATGTGCTCATATTGTATTACCTGGTGAGACACATGGTAATATGTGTCTGACATGTCAGTGGAGGAAAATCTGAGGTAACATGACTGGCCAAAGTAATTTAAATCAGTAATTTAGTAATTGACTTGTTAATAAAACTCAAGTTAATCAATACTTAGCATTTTTCAGTTATTAAAAGGACCTTTTTTTCTCTTTTTATTTTTAATGGGAGAAAAACCAATTTAATATGTGCACATGGAAGAATCATAAAAAGTCTTGTTTTGGTTAGAATTGAAGATGATATCCTGAACAAACTAAAAAGAGAAAACTTGGAACTAAATATACTGAATTGCCATCATTTGGTTACTTTTGCAAGGCTGAGTGTGCCTTAATTTTAGAAGGTCATGGCAATATATAACCTCAGGATAAAGTTCTACATATTTTGATCTTGTAAGTTATGTGAAAGTTTGAACACTGGAGATTTGTGGGTTTGTTTTCTCCTATAGGCGTAGGAGCAAACAAGGATTTTGAATGCGTCTTTCTTTTGTTCCATTTAATAACTGTATCTAAGTAGATAGTATTTGCCTATTAATATAATTACCAGCAGACATTTGATACCCCTTTAAAATTTTATTTAAAATTCAAAAGGGAGATGTTGAAAAATGTGTATTATCTATCTATATATATATAAAAAGCCAGCGACCAGAATGTTGTAACGACCAGAACGACCGGTTGCTATGATGCCCACTGCGGCCAGCAAACCGGCCTGATCAGGGGGTGGGTCCAGCCAACCTCCTGTGGCCCCTCCCCCTAGCTGGTCCCACCCCTGATCAGCCTCTCCCACCCCATCAAGGGCAGGACAGCCAGCCAAACCCCCCCCCACCACGACCCTTCCCCCTGACCAGCCCCACCCTTGATCGCCCCCCTACCCCAATAGGGGGCAGGGCCATCTGGCCCATGTCCTGCAGCCCCTCCCCCACCCTGGCCCCACCTACCCCAATCAGGGGCAGGGCCAAGCCAGTCAACTGCCTGCCGGCCCTTCCCCCCCAGCCAGCTCTGCCCCCTGATGGGCCCCCCACTACCCCCATCAGCCCATGGCCCCCTCCCCCCAGCCAGCTCTGCCCCCTTGATCAA